GCTTATGCTCACCGCCAAATTCAAGATTTTCGCGTTCCGTAATTGTTTGTCAAACTCAGCCGTCACCGCCCCACCAACTTTCGTTTCCTCCGACATCAGACTGAGACAGGACAGGGTTTAAATACACAGACTACTAATTACTAAACACAAAACACCTGAGGAGAAACACGAGGGTGACAATCAGACAGACAGGGAGCAGCTGAGCTGTGACACACTGGGGAACACTGAAAAACACTAGAAAACTAAGAAAATAAACACAGATCGTGACACACAATAGTATTGTGTTACTTCGCAATACTTTTTGCATTCCCTCGCAAAAGTCGTTTATCACTGTTGTGCCTGCCATTTTTTTGACAAATTCACATGCTCACCATTAGCGAGTTAGCCTACTGCTTTCATTCAGCTTTGGAATGAATATGTCACACAGCTGCGCATGGAAATATACCAAATGCTGATATTTTAACCCAGTGCAGCCACGCAACATCAATGTCAATTTCTCAAACTTGTGGCGACACAACTTTTTTCGGTAACCAGATATTTCAAAATAAAAGTCTGATTTAATTCAATTCATAAAAAAAAAATAACTTTTGCATGGGAACGCAAAACAATATTGGGAGGGAATGCAAACTTTTGAGAGGTAACGCAAACGTGTTGCGTGGGAACGCAAAAAAAAATCCCCCATGTCCCCTCGCAGGCTCTGTATGACTTATTACACATAGAGAGAAATATTTCAAACTTTTATTACTTGTATTTTTGATGACTATTGCTTACAAATTGTGGCAAAATTCAGTGTCAGAAAATTAGAACATTACATTTTTTTCCTAAGAGAAAAAGAGAAATTATAAGATTTGACATATTTCACTCTTTGTGTTTATGAATCTATGTAATATGTGACTTTCACTTTCTGAACTGACTGACACAAACAAAATGAACTTTTTCACGGTGTTCTATTTTTTGGAGCTTTGTCTGGTTTATATCGAGTTTATTTTGGTGTCTTAATAGCTGACAGTCATTCTCCGTATAACTTTAAGCATCATTTAAAACTTTGACATAATTTTTTAGAACAACCTCTAGCTGTCTGTTAATAAAATCTCATAAACCACTGGACAAATTTGATTCAAATTTTCAGAAAGTAATTTCTGGAAGTACTGTATATCTACAGTTAATTAACTTTTGGACTTAACCTGATTCAACATGGCTTCCACAGATAATTAACCTTGACCAACAGATAAACGGCTAAAACCTACTTGGATCACTCGCAGTAAGCTTGTCTGATTTTAACTTGTATGTTTCTCTTTCAGGTAGAAGGACGAAGGAGAGGCAGTCACGCTGAAAGTAATGGCTTTGGTCACCACAGTAATCATGGTAACCTCCCTGACCTGGTGCAACAGAGCAGCTCTCCCACAGCCACGCCCACCTCAGCTCTGCAGGAACTGAGCAACATGGGGGAGGTCAGACATGGACACCTGCCTGTGCGCTTTAACACTTCACTCTAAAGGGGTGTGTGTTGCTGTTTGATGTTGGCTTCTGCTGAATCCCATCTGTGTTTTACAGTTCGGTTTCGACGGGACAAAAGCACCGTTTAGCCCTTTCGTTGACCCACGGGTTTTTCAAACATCTTCGGGAGAAAACAGCATGGAGAACTCAGCAGCAGGTAGAGTTCTGACCGTCTGTTTTTCCCTTCAGTTTCAGTCAAAGCAGAGTAATGCGTTGATGCTTACGTCTCCATCTTTCTGGGTTCTTGCAGCCCTGTTTGCCAGCGAGCTGCTGAGGCAGGAGCAGACCCAACTGAATGAAGCCAGAAAAATCTCAGTGGTGAACGTCAACCCGACCAACATCCGGCCTCACAGCGACACACCAGAGATCCGCAAATACAAGAAACGCTTCAACTCTGAGATCTTGTGTGCTGCACTCTGGGGTACAGGGATCACTCTTTCATCTGTTTTATTATTACATACAAAAACATCCGCTGCCCTAAATGTTGCAGAATTGTGTGTATCAGCATTCAAAGTGTTGTTGTCCTAGTTTATATTTTCTGTTGCAATTTAAATACTTCTACATACTTTCTACTGTTGTAGTCATTCCTAAATGAAAACGTTCAGCTCAGTCAGGAGACAGGTGCTGTGACTTTTCTAACTTTTATATTTTTCTAAATGTTTTATATTTTTCTAAAATCTTTATTTGCAGTTATTTTACCATAGAAATACAGTAAAGCTCATCAGTTCTGTCAAACCCATAGTTTTATATGAAATCTGCTTTAATACACTTGCTATACTTTGATTTCTGCTTTTACTTTTAGGTTTTAGCCAGCCTTTTGCTACTTTTAACTTCTAGCTAGTTACCTCCGCCATCGGCGAGGTAATGTTTTCGGTCGCGTATGTCTGTCTGTCGGCCTGTCGTTCTGTCTGTGGACAACATTACTCAAAAACTTGTGGACAAATTGTCATGACATTTACATCACATGTGGATACTGGCACAAATAACACCATTAAATTTTGGTGATGTTCCGGATCACGATGCAGATACAGGAATTCTTTTTCTTTTAATCCTCTCAGATCGGCAAAGCTGTGATGCTTTCACAGGGCTTCTGCAAAAAACTGTGACAGCTTTCAGTGTTCATTTGAACTGGATCACACAGCACGGACTTCAAACTTTATAAAAGTAATGTTAAAACCAGATGTAATGATGAATAATTCTTGCCATAATATGTGTATTTTTACGCATTTGGTGCGCGTTTAGAGAACGTTTTGTGACCACGAAGTGTGTGACTGCACCATGAAACCTATTTTTCCCATTTCCTCAAACACACCACATTGTCGGTAGGCTTGTACACAGATCGATGAAGATTGAGGAAGAGGAGTGACGCGGTGGACTTCAGACTCGGAGGTTGTTTGTTTGTTTGTTCACTTTTATTATTATTTAAATGAGGCCAGATCAAGTCGAGAGCTATTTGTGTGCCCCTCTATCCACCTCTCGCCAAACTTTAGGGAAAAAAGAATGCGCATTGCGTGGTTGTGACCGCTGTGTGTTGTCCTCACAAAGATAGGAAGACGCGTGTTTGTCTGTATGATTAGACGCGTGATGAAAACTCTGCTTTTTTTTATCACGTAGCACCGATGCGAAAGCTTTCAACGATAACCTTTTGCCACTTTGATAGCTTAGCTAGTTTTTTGCTTCTTATAATTAGACTTTTATCACTTTTAGCCATTTGCGACTTCAAAAGGAGCATTTAGCAACTTTTAGTTTTAAGTTATTCCCTTTTTTATTTTTAGCTTTTATTAAAAACGTTTTTGCTGCTTTTACGTAAATGTTGCTGTGTTTATTGTTTAACTGGCCTTTTGCAGCATTAAGCTTTTAGTTAGCATTTCAGTTTGCGCTTGTAGCTTGTAGTTAGCATTTTGTTACTTTAACTATTCTTGTCACTTATAGTTTTTTTTTCTTTTAGCTAAAATGTTGCTATTTTTAGAAAATAGCAATCATTTTGCTGCATCTAGCTTTTTCTTATTTTTGGCTCCTGGCAAGTGTTTTGCTACTTTTAGCTTTTTTTAACATTTGAGAGTTTTTTTATGTTATTTTTGCTTTTATTTTTTTCTCATTGTAGCTTTTACATACACGTCAAGTTGGGTCATGATACAGGAAAATGCCCGAAGGGGCTTACTTGTTTGACCGTTCTACTTCTTTTTTTTTTTTTTTACCGACTAAAACATTTCAGACTCTTCAGCAAATGTTTTCCAAGTCATTCAGCATTCACACTCATTCTCAAAGAACAGGCAGTTTTGACTTTTTTTTGTTTGTTTGTTTCTTGTGTTCAGGCGTGAACCTTCTTGTCGGGACAGACAATGGTTTGATGCTGCTTGATCGAAGTGGGCAGGGAAAAGTTTATAATCTGATAACCAGAAGACGTTTCCTTCAAATGGATGTTTTGGAGGGACTCAATGTGTTAGTCACCATATCTGGTAAAAAGAACATTTACCTACTGAGCAACTTTATATGTAAAGATGGAATTGTTATTTTCTAACGTATCATTTATGTATTTAATGTGACTGACACGTTTAAAACTTTAATTAGGTTTCTTACTTTGTCCTTCTTTCTCAGGGAAAAAGAATAAGCTGCGAGTTTACTACTTGTCCTGGTTGAGGAACAGAATATTACACAACGACCCAGAAGTGGAAAAGAGACAGGGTTGGGTCACTGTTGGAGAGCTAGAGAGCTGTGTGCATTATAAAGTTGGTGAGAACTTATATTTCATAAGAAAGTAAACATTATAGCACAATTCAAAGTCTGGCATTTTCAGATTTACATTATAAACAGTATGCATGTAAACATACTGTAGACTGAGTCAGGTTATACAGCGGGTAAAATAAGTATTGAACACGTCACCATTTTTCTCAGTAAATATATCACTAGAGGTGCTAATGACATGAAATTTTCACCAGATGTCGGTAACAACCCAAGTGATCCATACATACAAAGAAATCAAACCATAAATGTCCAGAAATGAAGTTATTTGTGGAATGGCACAGGGAAAAAGTATTGAACACGCTTACTGAAATTTATCTAATACTTTGTACAAAAGCCTTTGTTGTCAATGACAGCTTCAAGACGCCTCCTGTATGGAGAAACTAGTGGCATGCATTGCTCAGGTGTGATTTTGGCCCATTCTTCCACACAAACAGTCTTCAAATCTTGAAGGTTTCGTGGACCTCTTCTATGAACTCTGATCTTTAGTTCTTTCCATAAATTTTCTGTTGGATTCAGGTCAGGTGATTGGCTGGGCCATTCCAGCAGCTTTAGTTTCTTTCTCTGAAACCAACTGAGAGTTTCCTTGGCTTTGTGTTTGGGCTCATTGTCTTGCTGAAATGTCCAGCCACGTTTCATCTTCATCATCCTGGTAGATGGAAGCAGATTTTTATCAAGAATGTCTCTGTACATTTTTCCACTCATCCTTCCTTCAATTATTTGAAGTTTGCCAGTACCATATGCTGAAAAACAGCCCCACACCATGATGTTCCCACCTCCAAACTTCACTGTTGGTATGGTGTTTTTGGGCTGATGTGCAGTGCCATTTGACCTCCAAACATGATGTGTATTCTGGCATCCAAACAGTTCAATGTTGGTCTCATCTGACCAGACTATATTCTCCCAGTATTACACAGGCTTGTCTAAATGTTGTGCAGCAAACTTTAAAGGAGCTTCAACATGCTGTTTCTTCAGCAGTGGAGTCTTGCGTGGTGAGCGTGCATACAGGCCATGGTGGTTCAGTGCATTACTTATTGTTTTCTTTGAAACAATCGTACCTGCTAATTCCAGGTCTTTCTGAAGCTCTCCACAAGTGGTCCTTGGCTCTTGGACAACTCTTCTGATAATTCTTTTCACTCCTCTGTCAGAAATCTTGTGAGGAGCACCTGGTCGTGGTCGGTTTATGGTGAAATAATGTTCTTTCCACTTCTGAATTATGGCCCCAACAGTGCTCACTGGAACCTTCAGAAGTTTAGACATTCTTCTGTAACCGATGCCATCATTATGCTTTGCAACAATAAGGTTGTGAAGGTCTTGAGAGAGCTCTTTACTTTTACCCATCATCAGATGGTTCTTGTGTGATACCTGGCCATCATTTGGGACTGAACCAKCTGATATTAACTTGCACTGACAAGGGGCAGGCTTGTTTTCTAATTACCGAGAGAGTTCAGCTGGTGTCTTGGCTTTCCATGCCTTTTTACACCTCCCTTTCTTCATGTGTTCAATACTTTTTCCCTGTGCCATTCCACATTATTACAAATAACTTCATTTCTGGACATTTATGGTTTGACTTCTTTGTATGTATGGATCACTTGGGTTGTTACCAACATCTGGTGAAAATTTCATGTCATTAGCACCTCTAGTAATATATTTACTGAGAAAAATGTTGACGTGTTCAATACTTATTTTACCCGCTGTAAATAGAGGCACTTTTAATATGTTGTGTATGTTTCTGTCATGGCTCCAGTTAAATATGAGAGGATTAAGTTCCTGGTGATTGCACTTAAAAACTCAGTGGAAATCTATGCCTGGGCACCTAAACCTTACCACAAGTTTATGGCCTTCAAGGTACAGAAACATAAACCTGCTCATAATATAAACACATTCAAAAATAATATAGCACATCTGATTAAAGGACATAATCTTATTATATAATCTAATTTTATTTTATGTTTTTATTCTCCTTTCTGTCTTTCAGTCGTTCACTGAGTTGCAGCACCGTCCTCAACTGGTCGATCTGACCGTAGAAGAAGGTCAAAGGTTAAAAGTCATTTATGGCTCCAATGTGGGCTTCCATGTCATCGACGTGGACTCTGGCAATCCTTACGACATTTATATCCCCTCCCACGTAAGCAATTTAATTTTTTTAAATTAATAAACACATTTAAGCTTTATAATATTGTAGACTACCAATCAGTGTCTCTTCTTCTGTTAAAGTAATTCATCCTAAAGAATCTACAAATAACATCTTTAATTGAGTTATTGGCATTCAGTTACAGGATTGGCATCAGCTATAAATATGTAACTTTTTTTTTCTGTGTTTGTACCCATGATAAACAGACAGAAGTGAACACAATGCATCGAAAAATGTTTCTAAAACAGAGCATCCCGTTCCAAATTCTCTAACACTGCTTTACTGTCAGCTGCCTGAAACAGATTATTTTAGAAAACTTACAGGAAGTATTAGATTTGTCCTGAATCAAGATTTTATACACATTGAGACTGTTCTGAGGTGATCACATATCACTTCAGTTTAGTCATTTTCCTAATTCATTGTAATACTTACCAGAAAAAGGACAAAAAATGACTGAATGCAGACGTAAAGCAAACATTCAGTTTGATATAGTTTACAGAGACATTAAAAAGTTGACTTTGGAAGTACAATATGACAAGAATTTCAAAAGGGTAACTTTAAAAATGAAAAAATTTAATGCCTAATTCTTGTTTGGAAACTAAAAACAAAATCTGTAAAATTCTCACTCTTCTCAGCTCCTTTTTTTTTAGGTTCATCCACAGATTTTATTTCAATAACTTCTTTCTGTCATTGGTCTGCAATTGTCCTGAAAAGAAATTTTTGTTGGTGCCTTTTCAGTAGGTCTTTTATGGTTTTTGAGGGTTTTTTTATAATCATTACGTGTTCAAATACATCCTTTGTAAACTTGTGGGTTTTCTGTTAACAGTGTCCTTTTACTTTTCCAAAATTTGCAGTCACTGTATTCAATCCAGTCTTTTATTTTGTTAAAACATCCTGTGTGTCACAGGCTGAAACAAGCCCAGGTAATGATTAAGGGTGTAAGAAAATATCGATACATTGAAATATCGCGATATTTCATTTCCCGATACTGTATCGATATTCTAAAGCCCTGTATCGATTTTTTATTAAGGTTTAAAATGTCAGCTTTCCTGCCAGCTGTTCATTTTTATGTTGTAGTTCAGCCTCTGACCACTAGTTGGCAGCAGTGAGCGCTCACTGCTGCCAACTAGTGGTCAGAGGCTGAACTACA